CCCCATCACTCTTGGCGATCATGACCCCCATCACCAGCGCCATTTTACACACGTGGGGAGAACGCCAGCACGGAGCGTGTGTGGTTTGGAAACACTCTTGGCGGGAAGTGAGAATTGCCCAGCCTCAGAGAGTCAGCAGCTGGAACGGACAAAAGGGGTTGGAGAAGGAAGGATGAAGGACTTAGCTCTGGAGGACTAAGGCGGGGAGGCCGACAAGAGGGAAGGGGCAACCGCCAGCAGTCGCCACCCAGAGGGGCAGGAGGCTGGGGGTGGGAAGAAGGGGGCGAGGGCCGCCAGGAAGGGTGGGCTGTGGGGTCCGCGTGGGCTAAACCGCAGCGCGTACGCCAGGCAGCTCAGCGGAAGAGAAAAACTTGCCAGGCCTGAAAATAAAACTGTAAAACCAGATAGAAAAGGCTCATTAAAAAAAGCATACTGCTCTCAATAGTACTTTTACTAAAGAAAATGAGACAATATATACAATTTTTACTATATTTAACACTGATAATCACTAAGTACAGAAGTCATTCCATGCACAGAAAGCGCCACAGTACACCGCAATCTTGCGGAGGTCGGGAGGCATGGGGACAAAGCTCACAGACCCGAACAAGTGATAACTTAATGCCGTCCTTAGATGATTCCATAATAGTTACATTAAAACTTTTATTTCTTAAATTGAAAACCAACTGTTTCCTTATAGGAGGCGAGTGGACTAAACCACAAAGCAGAAACATGTGCTTGTTTTCTATGAAAACCAGAGCCCTGACCTCCGCGGGGGCCGGCAGGCACCGCCGCCCCGCCTCCCCGGGCTGCAGGGGCCCGCAGCCGCCCCCACCCAGCCCTGCCCCCACCCGCGCCTTCGGCAGCACCGCAGGAGCCGCGGGACGACTGCCCCAGCCCCCACCGTGCCCCGCAGCGCTGAGCTGAAAGGCAGCGTTGGGAACGGCGGCAAGGGGCGGCCGTAGCTCCAGCTTCAGTCGTTATAACTGGTTGCTCTGGGCTTTGGGAAGCATTAAAAATCTAAAAATTGTTCCTGCAGTCTCTCTCCCTGAGAGGCCTTGATAACAAGGTTTAAGGGGACCACGTGGCGGTGGCTTCACGAGCGTGAGGGGAAAACGCCCTTCAATGACCTTTGCTCGGAAGCAGACCCGGGTAACCCCTTCAGCAACTGTTCCGTCCCCAACCTCCAGCAAGGATGCTGCAGCTTCTGGACTCGACGCCGGTACAGGTGACGTGATTAAGAGGCAAACCAAGGATGTGTAAAATCCAGATGGAGAGGCTAAAATCCTCTGGACCCCGCTTCGGTCTAACCAGGCCTATAAAATCTACATTTTAATGGCCGATTTTCCAGGGATCGCAGAGATCCCCTTTGCTTGAGCCCCGACGGAATTAACGAGAGAAGCAGAGAAAAGCGAGGCCTGGATGCCTGGGGGCGACTCTAACAGGGGGAGCGATTCCAGTCGGTGAGTGAGCACAGCTCCGCCGCCCGCGCCCCCCGCTGGCCCGGAATGTCCCGGAGAACCTGCACCACAATCTCTGGAACTAACGTGCTTCCAGCCTTGGAGAGGGCGATGTTCCCCAACTAAACGTCGGTCAGAATAGTAGCCGACATGTAGACATCTGCTTTAGACAGAGGCAGCGCGTCCCCCGCTCCTGCAGGCCACAGAGCCCCCCCGCCCCCGCCGCTAACATATCGCTGGCAGGGCGGTGGGGGGGCCCGTCAGACACCGGCGGCCCCAGCTGACGAGTTAGAGGGAGTCTGGTGAGGCACAATTACAGAGGCAGATGACAAGACTTCACGCCTGACTGACTTGAGAGCCGATGACATGACTCTGAACAGCAATCTTCCCGACTTCTGGTCACAGAACAGCACTAAGGCAACCGACAGAGCCTTGTCGCATCATGATGCGCGCCTCCGCTCGGGGCGCAGGGGGCTCCGGCCCGGCCCAGGCCGCGTCCTCCTCGGGGCCTGCAGGCCGCCCCCGCCCGGGCGCGCGTGGTGACGACTGTCACAAGGGCATGAACGCCGAAGTGCTTACGCTCAGACGCACCAAACAGAATCATGGCCGCACTTTACTCTGCGGGGAGAAAGCCCTTTAAAATCCTAACGTGACAACAGCCTTTCATATTTTGCTAACGGATCCCAAAACCAGTTTTTTATTTTAAAGTTTACCTCTATACACATAATAAAAATAACAATTTTAACTACAAACAGGGCGTAAGGAAAGGACCCTGAGGGGTCGAGGGCGCTGCGGGGCGGGCAAAGGGGAGCCAAGGGAAAGGAGGACCCTCAGGACGCTCAGCCACACGCAGTTCCTGAGGCCGCCACAAGATAAAGGATGTGGACGCCACTGCGCTTCTGTGTGTGCTTTCAGCGACAGAAATTCTGGCGATCGATTTTACAAAAGAGGAAAATAATTCCTTGCATTAAGTGTAATCTTCATGGCATATAAATAAGAAGTAAAAAGCTTCAGAGTCAGTCTGTCCCTCGACACTTTAGTGGTTCTTTCCTTGGATGTTTCAGAGCTTTCACTAAATTCCTTCTAAAAATAGCTTATTCCTAATTTATGTGTGGCACTAGTCTTTGACCTTCACTGCTACGAGGGAGAAGATTTGTAGCAGATGTTGTTAAACGAACTTCTCGAGAAGACTCAGGTAGAGCAGCTTCCCCCACACGCGAAGGGGAAGGAGACCTGGAACGGGACCTCGGTTTGTGTGTCTGTTATCAGCCCCGCGGCCCCCGAGAGTGAACCAAAACAACGCCGCTAACCTAGAGATGACGCCACCGTCGAGCGTTCACACACGGTCATGAAGGCACAGGAAACAGCTCCCTGAATAATGCCACGCCTTTGTTAATCTATTTTTTAACTCACATAAAGTTAAAGGGCAGGCATGTTACTTTTACTCTAAACTGCATACCTAGTCTATGAGCAAAGTATAGCCAATAATCATTGCAGAATCATTGAATCTTATGCAGCTACAAATCTAAGCACTTCAGCTACATGCGTGTTGCACGCGTGTGTTTATAGATACACACGGGTACGTACGTACCCGTATCCTTCAGCTTCCCAGCGATGCCGTGGGATGACTGGGGCTGCCCCAGCCTCCCAGCCGCCACGCGAAGACTGTGGGTTGGGGGCACCCAGTCGTCACGGTGTTTATAAGCCACAGCAGAGAGCAGCACCGCTTTCTTACAGAAACGTGCGTCAGTTCACACAGCGGACCCCCGCCCCCTCCAGCCTCTGCCGCAGGGCCACCTGATCAGCGAGGCCTTTGTGGTGAGTGACCAGCCCGCGAAACCTGCCCTGGCCTTGCATCCCGCACACGCAACTGCTCTCCTCCCTACTCATCCCCACAGGACGCGAAAGCCAGCTCTTCCTTCCCTTCTTCCTCTGGCTCATCCGTTAAATGTAAGTGCTAAGAGGATCTGGACTTTGCTTTGCTTACTGCTGAGTCCTTAGTGCCTAGAAAGTGCGCACCACGTGCGTGCATAATAAACACTTGTTAAGTAAGTTATGTTTGGTAAGAATGTAGTTCCTTGACCTCTAAGACAGATTGTGCAGCCTTTATCTTCAGGACAATTCCATATAGAAACACTCTTTGCAATCGTGAACAGAAATCATGTTTAAGAAACGATGAGGCTGAAGGGAAGAGGGAGAAGAATGAAGAATGGTTTTCCCTCAATGGTTAATCAAAAATAGGAGAAAAGGAAATTTATGAAAAGGACCAAATGAGTCACAGCGAGCCCCCAGTGCCACCGGAGGACGCACAGGCAGCAGCTGCAGGTGGCGCTGGCGAGCACCTCCTCCCAGACAGCGCGTTGCTCCTCTGCGCGCGTGGAACGCGTTCTCAGTGCAAAACATAATCTCTCTGCAATTTTTTGGAAAACTCGGCATATCAATGTTGTGATTAAACATCTAGAAACTGTAACTTTTCGACTGTAGAATAATGGAAACAACCCAAAACTAGAATCAGAAGACCCAGGATCCTATTATCTGTCTCCAATGAGCTCTTTAGCCTTTGGGTGGGCATTACCTGCTCTGAAAATACCTTTCTCATCGTTAAATACTCAGGAGGTATCCTAGAGAAATCCTGAAACTCCTTCTACTCTAAAATACTAAAATTTTATAGAATGAAGTTTTTATTTCTACTACAGAACAAAACATGTATGCACTATCTTATTTTTATCAATGAACCAAATGTGTAAGAAAGCAAATTCATACAATCTTAAATAATGGTTTTTAATAAATCTCATATATTACTCTACACTGTTTACATTTATATTTAAATTTTTTAAGTCAATCAAAAATACTAAAAAATTGTAATGCCTAAAGCCAGAAAAACAAAGAAATCTCGCCCCGCACTTCTGACTATTCACTCTGACCCAAGGCCAAGTCCCATTCTCCCTGCCTCTACCAGGGCCGGGAAAACCTTGCAAAGAACACTTTAGTGAGTGGTAGAAAATGTGTGATTAATGAAAAATGCTACTTTGACTTCTAAGTTATTATCAGTCTGAAGAGCTCCTCCAAGTTCGAATGACTATAGAACCTTCTACCAAACCACTACTTGGCAACAAAGAGGAACCCACCCATCACCAGGTGAGGACAGCTGCTATTATGGGGGCCTGCGGTTTCTTTCAAAGGGCGCCCACGGAAAAAGCCACAAGTGAATAATAAAGATCTCATAATAGACCTAAGAGTTCTTTATATTGGCAGAAGGCAGTCAAATGAACTCTGGAGAGTTAAAAGGGAAAAAGAAAAAAGAAAAACAACTCTCATCTCCTGATAAGAAAAAATAATTAACCTGACGTAATGCATCTGCGAAGGGCTTCCATAAATCAGACTTTTGTCCTTCAAGGGCTAGATTAAAACCATTTATCAAAAAAGTCGGTAGACATTGTCTTCCAAGTACAGCAGGGACATTTCCGCGCCTGCAGAGGTTCGTGGGGCTTTTTGTGAGGCGCTCAAAGCCGGCGGCTGAAGAGGACGGTGTGAAGTACTCACAGTGCTTAATTTGCTGGAGGTGACGATGACGCGCCGCTCGTGGAGCATGCTGGCGTACAGCTGCAGCATGTTGTTCACGTCCACGGCCACGAAGTACTCCGTGAGGTTTCTCTGCACGGGGAAAAAGGGAGAAAGGGAAAAAACACAGTGTGAGCTGCGGCTCGCGTGGACAACCAAGGAAAGCGTCTTACATGTTTGCCAGCAAGTCTTCAAGTTCCAAGGATGTTATTAGCAGCCATGGTAGCCGTTGAAATAGTTACCCTGAATATTATTCTGCCGACACACAGCACAGACCATTCCATCGTGACCTGAAACACAATCCTACTCCAGGGAAGTGTTTCTCGGGGGCGAGGGGGACCAGGGGACCGTACATTTGCCCCCTCCCCCCGGCCAGGCAACTGGGAAAGGAGCGGCTTCCCGGGCCCCGACCTGGACCTGCTGCACGGGGGCCTTCAGAGGACGGCCCCAGAAATCTTCTTTCTGAACACACACTCTTGGAAATTCTCCTACACACTGAGCTTGCTCCGGGAAACACATCCGTGTCTATCGATGTCGGCCCGCCACTCGGCAGGCCCGGCCACGCCCGATGCTGCCCACTGCGCGCACGGCCGCCCGGGCACGAGAGCGCTGATGGCGCAGACCTTTGGTCTTCGTGAGGCAAAACCCGTTGTTGGTACCTCAGGGCCGGCCTGCTTTATGCTGCCATAACCAAGTAAAATTTGGCGGCAGTCTGATTTGGTTCCTTGACTGGCTACTTGACTGGCTACTTGAAAGCATTTCTCCCACGTCAGAACAAAGTTGGGATAAGCTTCACTGACCTTGACTCCTGCATCCCCTCCTTCCCATTTTTAAAAAATTTTCTGTACTCACACTTAAGCACATAGGAACGCAATCAAGTAATGAAGAGGGTGGATGAAATACAGTAATAAGCTGAACCTGTAGGCCAGGTGAACTATGGCCGGGAAGGCTGAAACTCTCAGTTGGGCAAAACAAAAAACCCAATTATTTCTTTGCTTCCCTTCGCATACGGCATCCGAAAGCATAGCTGTCACTTGCCCTTACCCAGGTAGACTTCTCTACCAAATATTAATTGGTAATAAATTTCAAAAGACTAAAATATTTCTAGCAGGGCTACGATTAGGACATAAATAAAATGCAAAACTTAGCAATTTTTTTCATTCCTTGGAATACCCCTCGAGCCTCACAAAATATGTTACAACATATAAATGAGAATCCAGAAATCAAGGCAGGACACCTAAGGTTTGAACAGAGGTACGCGCAGGAATGCGAAACACTGCGGTCAGTCCACTGAGGCAGCCATTTGTGCGGAAACAGTTGCCGCTGCCAGCAGCAGCAGCCACGCCCGCAAAACCCCCCTGGCCTGCTCCTGACCGACCCGCACGACCCGCACGACCCTCCCGACCCGCCGCCGCCGCCGTGACGGGAAGAGCTGCGCTCACAGCAGGCGTTCGCAAGCGGGTCAGAAGCAGGTAAGTAAGAAAAGAGAGGGCCCTGGCAGGGGGCTCAGGTCGTTGGAGCATCGCCCCGTGCACCAAAAGGCTGTGGGGGTTCGATTCCTGGTCAGGGCATATGCCTCGGTTGCAGGTTTGATCCTTAGTGGGGGCGTAGGGGAGGCAAATGATCTATGTTTCTCTCTCACACTGATGTTTCTGTCTCTCCCCCTCCCCCACCTTTTACTCTCTCTAAAATCAATAAACATATCCTCAGGTGAGGATAAAAAAAAAACATTTTAAAAAATAGAGAAAGAGAAGCGATAACACCATTATTCCTTATTTCCTCATTATTTCTCACAAGCACATGCGGTTACTTTGTATTCTATTTCTCTCTACAGGACTCCTTAAAACAGTGAGACCAGAAGAAATGAAATTCATAACACGAACAGGAGAGAAAGCACAGGAAGCGGACAACTCACGCTCTCAGGAATGGTGGGGAGTCCAGTGACGTCGGGGGCGACGAAGCAGGGATGCTGCCCGGCGGACGTGGGCCATGCAAAGAAGCAGAGTCACAACTGAACAGCACGTCACAGAACTGGGGACCATACGAAGGAAGGGCTACGCTAGCACCACACTACCGATTCAAAAGCTCGCGTTGTAACTACCAAGGACTGATGCCCAGGGGTGTTGAATTCGAAAGATTTCTAAACGAGGTGATGGGTTTATATGAAATTTAACAATAACTTTCTCATACAAAGAATTAAGGGTTGGTTAAAAATATTGAACTGTAAATTTAAAGTGAGAAGTCTGGGAAAAAGTTTATTAAGACAAAAAGTATATTACTATGATATATAATATACACACATACATATATATATGGTTATATATATTTATATATTTTGAACACATTTAGTTTAGTGAGACAGGAAAACTACTGCTACTTACCTAAGAATATATCAAAATCTATTAAAATTTCCTATGGTAATTTACAACAAATTTGTACATATCAGCAACAATATTATTGAGAAAACAGCAATAAAACATAATTTTTAGGTATCTAAAACTTCTTTAAAATATATTTAGTCATTTCAAAAAATGATCTCCATCTGGCCACTAAACAAATATTAAGTAGCTTCTAAAACATTCAAAGCAACAGCCCAGAGAGGTCATGCATGTCTTTATGTTTCCCACGCCCAAATTTTACCACCCACAATCAGAGTGCAAGTAAATCACCAAAATTCGTATTTTCTGTTCATATTAATCTCCAAAATTATTTTACTATCTTAATCTCGTAAGGACCTATTTAACACTGTCTTAGAATCAAAGATGGGAAATATTCCAGCCAATATCGAGCATGGTTGAACTCGTCAGAAAAATTATACATTATCAGACCGTCATAATGTCTAATTTTCCAGGGTCGGAGAACAATGTGAGATAAATCACAAGGTCTTTAGAGGCCTCAAGACAAAAAAAATGACAGAAATCTCTTGTGGTTTCTGAAGACAGAAATGCCTTCGACACGCCTGCTACTGGCGATGGAGAACGCGCACAGGCTCGGCCTCTGGAAGCTGCTTCGACCAGGAGGGTCTCCAAAGTGCTGCAGTTCCTGCAGCTGCGCTTTCAAAGACGGTATAAACAGAAAATATACTCCACAGGACTGACTTTCTTAGGAGAGACACATTTCCCATTTCCCAAAGGACTGGAGTGATTCTTAAAGACACAGTGAAAGAGGTAATGATTTTCGCAATTTGATAGTGATTTTTAGAAGCGAATGTCCTTCGAACTCACCCGTGCTAAGAAGGGCTGATCTTTCAGAACTTGCTCACTGGCAATAAATATCTCTTGGTTCTTATAATATGTGAGAGAAAAAATGAATATTTTACTTTCATGGGGGAAGTTTACACAACAATTTGCTGTGTATCTGAGATAAACCCACACTGCCACATTGTCCACTGAAAATATCTGAGTAACATTAATTATAGATGTTATTTTAAATGTAGATCTGCTAATTTTATGTTAGAAAAATTTAAAGGAAGTATTTTCATTCTCCACCGATAGCGGAGGATGCTGTGGATAGTTAAAGATTTGGAAAGGCAGTTTCAAAATAATCATAATCATTTACACTAGATATTAAATTTTCATAAAATCTGATATTCTAGTGATTACATTAGCAAGTCTTGAAAATTCCATGTGCTGAAACATTCACGAAATAGGAGGTTATAAGAAAATCATAGTACTTTCTCAAGAGTTATCCCATTTTTCTAATGGGAATTCTGCAAACAAACAAAATTTTCTTTCCACCTAAGAACAAACAAAACTCCCAACTCATAAAACAAAAACCTCTTCAAATAGTTAAAAGTAAGTGTTTAGTTGCAACTTTTGCCACTCGTTAACAGGATAGGACTGGGCTCATGACTAGTAATCTGTTTTTGAAATCAAATGAAATTACTAAATGAACTTCACACAAAGTTAAGGCAACACTTTATTCACCAGCTGAATTTACCAAAACTTAAGATATTGTATGGAGAACAGGTGTACAAGGGCTGAAGCTCTCATAGACTACTGATTCAAAAGCTTTCAAAAGGCCTCTCATTAAAAAAAATAACTATCATATACAGAAAAAGAACACAGCCACTCAAATTCCTTTGACAAGATTATTTTAGCTACAATAAAAAATATCTTCCCCATTTGAAATGCAACTTCAATATGCTAAGAGCTAACATTTGAGTAGCTTTTCATGGTATGCAGATACATTGTTTTCATGTAATTTCTCAAACAACTTTCCCCAAAATCACCTCACTCATTTTCTCAAATGGAGAAAAGAGATCATCAAAAGAGACTCACTTTTTTGCCTAATATCCCACATTTAGTGACTGTGACTTAAACCAAAATCATCTAGTCTTAGGTCGTAAGAGGCCTAGAAGTGTATGATGTACAGTTTTTATTAATAATGTGTGTTTCAAATATCCCCTATTTCTGATGTGTATTTTTGTAAGACACTTATTTAGTCCTGAAAAAAATATAACCCTCAAATTTAAAGAGAGAATACACGCGAACTTCTCTGGGATGCGCTACCAGCCTCTACTATCTTAGCACCTGTCTCTTTAACCCTTTACTGCAGCACCGGAGTCACTCCATACACACCACTCTTTCAAAGAAAGACACTTAGTTTTGGAAGATCCAGAGCTTCTCTTCATCCTCCCGGACGTCTTCCTCGCCTTCCTCCTTTCTTCTGCTAACATGGCTCTTGCATTCTTTCGGTTTCACTCACTTACAAGTTTGAGTTTCCCCTTCGCTGCCCTGTCCTCCAAATCTTCGAGGCAATTAGACCTTGTCCTCTTACGTGCTGCCCTCCAAACAGATCAATTATTCCCACAACTACACCTGCAGATAGCACTCAAATTTGGGTTTAAAATTCCACGTTATCCTTAGCGTTCCAGCCCCCAATCCCCAAATGACGACTCGAGAGTCCCACCCTGGCAGAAGGCCAGAGAAGAGAGAGGGTGCAGGCGTAAAGGGGCAGAGATCACAGCAAAAGGGGGAAAAACCCACTTGAAGCTGTCACAACAAGAGAAAGTTCCACAAACATGGGAACCGAGCTCGCTCTAGACTAGAGACAGCTCGTCTACGGAGGGGCTTTGCTAGCAAAGGAAGGTGGACGTGTGCAAAGGTGCGACATTCAGCCAAGGAGAGGGACAGCACAGAGGGACCAGTGCAGAGAATCCATTTAGGAAGCAAGAGAAGTGAGGCAGGAAAAGGAAGCTGTGGCTCGAGGCTGAGAAGTGGGCGATGCTGAGGCCTGGCCAAAAGTTGGGACACGCTGTACGGAAAACGTGGAGCTTTCGTTTCTCGTGGGGAACTTGGTGAAAGCTTCCACAGGAAGTGATCTACCACCCCGGGCTTCCTGTTTTGAGAAACTTCAGTCATGTTTCCAGTGTCTGGTGATTATACTAGAATAAGCACTTAAGGATGGGGGAAGAAGGAAGAAACTTCACCAACAATTTCTATCATATCGTCAGTAATGTGTTATACTGTATCTTTGATTCTTAGTATGTACTTCTTTCATTTTATGAGGAGTATTTGGAATGCTGTTTTGTAGGGGGATGGTGTTCGTGTGTGTGTATGTGTATTTCCTGGAAATCCACGTTCCTCACAATCAATATATTCTTACAGATTCAGTGACTTTTCGTGTACAATAAAAAAATCTGTGATCTAACAACTACCACACTGCACATCCAACCTATCATGTTATGATGGTTGAGGCATGTCCAAAGTCTCACGATCATCAGCTAGTAATGTCTGTTCTAGCAGTGACGTTTCCCTGGGAACACAGGTGCCTTAGAATTCCTTGAAGGTGCATGTGTTCCTTTTTTTTAAAGACTTTATTTATTTAATTTTAGACAGAGGGGAAGAGAGAGAGAAAGGGACGGAAAGAAACATCAATGTGTGGTTGCCTCTCGCACCCCCTATTGGGGACCTGGCTTGCAACCCACACATGAGCCCTGACTGGGAACCGAACCAGCGACCCTTTGGTTCACAGGCTCGCAATCAGTCCACTGAGTCACACCAGCCAGAGCTGTTTGTAACTGAGAAACATCCATGACTCCAAAAAATCAACTACTGACTGAATACTTACCACGCTCAAGCTGACAGGGCTGTTTGCCTTCGGTACTGGCTGGTTATAGAGTGCTTGGAGAGCTACATTCAAATCACTTTCCTACCATTAAAAAAAAAAAAAAAGGTTAATTTTATAAATAAAATACAGGTTAGGCAAATATGATTAAAACTACTTGATAAAGCCATGCATTGTCCTTCTCATACTGGACTGGCTTGTATAACTGCTTTCCACAGCGATGTTTTACATGCCTAAAATCAAAATATTTAAATCTAATAAATACGGAAAAGATATTCTCATCTCTTACCCAGAAAGAATAAGAGCAATATTTATATTTAGTGTAAATATGCATTTGGCAAAATTCAATTATTATAAAATATACAGTTATCTATAGAAAGAAATTATTTAAATCATTAGATCCAAGAACGATGGAATTGTATAAAAATAGCAATACAACTTGTTATCAGATTACTGAAAGCCCCTGTTGCCTATTTTAAATTTAAAATCTCAAACCTAATTTTTAAAGAATAAGTGTAATTTAACTAAGACCATTATACTAACATCCACCACGGAGGCAATCCTAAATATTTTGTGCCTAAGTAGCCACTGGTCACTATGTGACCCACGAAAAAGGAAGGGGATTAAATAAATTACGTAACACATCTATGTCCTAGACTTGTATAATAATAACATATCCAGATGTGCACACACAAAACTATTTCTGAACTACACATACAAGTCCAGGAATAAATCTATGAAAGTAGCTTTTAAACACAGAGTTACTTTTTTCTCTTCTAAAATGTTTATGTTGGGAGAAGAAGCCAAAGAGAAGGCAGCTCTTCGGGGAAGGTAATACCTAATCTTACGGGATTTGGGTATGAGACACATGACTAACCACAAGGACCCTTTTAACTTGACTATCCACTCTCCATTCAGATCTCTACAAATGCTTGCAAAAGGGTGCATTAAAAACTACCCACCTGAAATTCTCTTTATAATGATCTTAAAAGAGGACGATGAAGACTTTCTCTCTTTACCATTTAAACAGTGAAATACGCCACAGAATAGTCTGGATGATAGCGATACTCCATATATAAAAATTCTTGTGGCTACATGAATTCTATAAAAGTCTAGCTTTTAAAATCCTTTGCACTTGCCCACAGCAGCCTGGGTAAGGATAAGGTGAATTATAAAGACTAAATATCAATCTAAATAACCAGTGGTACTGGATTAAAAATGAAAAAAAAATCAAAATTAAAGATTTGCTTGGGGTCATTGAGTTGCTACTGTGATCGCCTACTGCCCTCTGAGAATGAACACAAACGCAGCCTCTGGCTTCCCTGCTCAGAAAACCGTCACTGATGGGAATGCAAATGGCGCGACCTCTGGAGCTGTCATTTTTCGACTGTTTCCGAAAACAGGAGGCATGGGATTACCGTATTTCTTAGCGATTCCGAGTGCATTCCCAAAGGGCCTGACCGCGGGGACGTGGCCCCCCGCGGCCGTGGCGGCACTGCTTCCCGGCTTGGAAGCAGCCCGCGCGCCCACCTGCGATGCACGGAGAAGCAAGACGCGGTGCGGACCTGCGGTGGGACGGCCTTCGGCGCAGAAGGGACAGGAGCTCTGACACACGCCTAAGGCGGGACGAGCCCTGGAAACGCGCTCGGGGGAGCGAGGCAGCCACAGAAGGGCCGGGGTCGCCCGGCTCTGCTTACGTGAGGGGCCCGGGCATCGTCGCACAGACGAGGCACGATGGCTGCTGCCAGGGACTCGGGGGAGGGGCCCGGGACGTCCCTGTCTAACGGGGACAGAGTGTCAGTGTGGGAAGGTGAGAGACTTCTGGAGGTGACAGGGCAATGGCTGCAGAACAACGTGAGGGTATTTAACGACACAGAGCTGCACACTTAAAAAGGGCTTAAAATGGAAAATTCTGCATTATGTGTGCATTTGGCCTCAGTGAAAAAGCCAGGCGGGAGGACCACGGCTTACCTGTTCCTTAGCCAAGTAATCTGCCAGGGTATTGAGAAGCTTGTAATATACTTCGAACCATGGCAGGTAACTGTAAAAAACAGGAACAAAAATGTGTACATCTCAGTTAGCATCAACAAACAAGACGAATCAACATTAAATGTTCATTATTGCCAACAGCTTGGCCGTGGAGGCGGACGAGAGCGAAACCTCTGTTCTCTTTCCCGTGACCCTGACACTTTCCTGTCATCTGTTAGTAGTTCTCATCGCGTGATTCTATTATGAAGTTTCTTCACTACTCGCTTCTATGGTATGCTGGTAGTACCAAAAATTACTCAGTCCTTCTGCACGGCGCGCACGATGCAAGTATCGCGTAAGAATCCCCAGGATAAAAGTCAGCCGTTGCAGTAACATGTCATATGACACAAAAACTAATTTTAAAAATCTTTTAGAACAAAGATACAATCATTTCTAAATATTACTGAATTGAGTATATAATACAACAGAATGACATGTTTAATCAAGCAGTTCATCAGAAATTAATATTTACATAAAGTGGCAAATTTAAAAATAAGTATCAATGCAAATAACAGGAAGCCTATTTTTAAAAGCACAGATATTGTAAATAGTTTTTAAATATCAAAAACAAATACTGCCATTTGAAATTGGTTGCTGAGGAAACGCAGACGCCAGGGCAGACGTGGGCGGGGCTGAAGCGAGGGGCTGGAGCAGCGGAGGGGGCTTCGCACGCTGCCGTGCGCCCCCGAGAGCGGACGACGGACAGCATGCCCTGAAGAAAATGAAATCTAAAAGCGAAGTAAAAAATTTCTAGACGGCGTGGAAGAGCTGTTAAAATTCAAAATACAAAAGGTGAAAACCATGAAAATCAGTGTGAAACTTAGACACGAAATCAAGAACACCTCCTAGGACGTAGGAAAAAGGGGCAAACAGATGGCTAGTAAGAGAATAAATATTCAAGGACCAGGGCTCGGCTCCCGACTATCATGTAGTTGAGTCACAGTAGTTGCAAAAAGAAAGAAAAGGTGAGGGGAGGAATAAAAATTTCTTTTTAAAACTTACTGGAAAAACTCCCAGAACTTTAGGCAGGACTCTCCAGATTGAAAGGGCTCCGCAAGGTGAAGTGAAATAGGAGCCAAATCAGAGCATCTGAGTGAAATTCCAGAACAGGGGACCGAAAGGCACCCAGAAGACACAACAGGGAACATGCAGAGCGATCAGATTTGAAATGCCACCGAACCTCTTAACAGCAGCCCCGGGAAAGCGGGAAGGCAGTGCCTTCTAAATGCGGAGGCTCGTCCCTCGCAGCCCGGGGTCCTCTGTGCAGAGGGACCAGCCGCCGCGTGTGGGGACAGACTGAGGAGCGTTTCAGTCCGCGGGGGCTCAGAACTTCCCCAGCCCCGTGCCCCTGGGGGGCAGCTACCGCACAACGGCTTCGACCAAGGGATGACAAACAGCACGGGCATCACCACGCCCCGTTCCCAGTCCTCAGGGTCACGCAAGGAGATAATCCTCGCGGAGAAGGTGCAGCCAGGGCGCGCCATAGCTCTGCGGCAGCGCGTGAGTTCGTTTGTGGCCATTTCATGTCCGCATTTTAACTTTTCGTGGCACGAAGAAACTGCTATTTCAAGAAAAGTCCCGTGTGCGGCATCGTTCAGATCTGGGTTCCCGATGAGACGAGACCTGACCTACGAAAGGAATATGCACTGCTGGCCTGTTTCTATCCTGCTCTCCAGATAAAGCAAACTTTGCTGTTCTCAGAGGTGCCTGTAGGTCTGTCTTGTGAATCCTTACACGGTCATTTGCACCTGACTCCAGTCATGGAAAACCTGAGATGATTTTGTGGGCAATCTCATTTAATTCTTACAGTAATGCTAGGCTGGATATTTGTCTAAACTAAAGGAAAACAACTCACCAAGGGGTGCACAGCCACCGAATGGCAGGCCTGGGATTAGAACTGGCCGCGCCGGCCACTGGGTGCGCACTCAGGGCCCCCCAGCGCGGGCCTGTTGTTCTGCACCATCAGCCTTTGAGTGAATATGGCCGAACACTGGCATTTTCAGGCAGCTCACTCAATGGCAACTAGGCTCATGCTGGCTTCACCCTACATGATCCTACCGGCACCTTCTATCCACGGCAGCAAATTCTATCTTCCAAAGTGTACCTGTTTGATGATCAGAGCAGTGTACTTGTGCCTCTTAAATTACATGGTATTTGTACAGGGAAGCTTCTCGGTAGACAAAGAACTGTTTAACTCGATTCTTTCACCCCGCACTGGTGACTCCTTGCTGCTGCAGATTTTAGGACTGCGTCTGTGCTCCTCGTCATGGATAAAAAGTTTGAAAGGGCACGGCCTGCCACGCGGTACAAGGTCCCTCCCAAAACAACAGGAATGCATTTACCAACAACCTAAGGAGAGCACGTTGGCCGATGATGAGGGGACTCATCGCCACGCCACCTGCAGCCGAGCCGACATTTTGCTCCCCATGTAACGTGCTGACGAGAGCCAGCGGGAGGCGCCTTCGAAGGTCCACAGCAGCTCCCCCTGGAACCCAGGCGGCCCGTGGCCGGGAAGAACCAAGCCGAGCTACACACCGCGGGGTTTCTGTGAATGTTTCGTGCTCCTCAGTGATAACGAGCTCCTGCTTAAGCCCGTGCATCGTTGGTTTTGAATAAAAACATCACGTCTGTCAAGTGGAACCACTGGGCCACCTCGTCATTTCTTAACAGCATCAAGGACGCAAGGACGTCTTCTATTGCAAACGAACAGCAGTGCATAGAGCGCAGGGCGCGACCGGCTAGTGCAGCCAGAGCCGGCCCGCGGGCATGCTTGGCTTGGTCCACACACCGCTGTTCTTGTTTACATAAGCTGCCAGCTTCCAAACCTGAGATAACTCACTTAAAAATCTGGATTTCTAAAAAGCAAAAGAACTGGCCCTACCAGTCACACACTGTCCACTTTGCAAGAATGTGTAACGGCTTCGGTCTTCAAATGCGGCGCGCACGCCCCGGCTTCCCGTGGCTGGACACCTACCCTGGCCAGCCTCGTTCAGTCCCTACCTGGTCCCTGCAGGTACCTGAAGTCATGGCCCCGGACACGGAGCGGGAAGTCTTGCTCACTTTTTATATGACCCAAAAAATGGTGTGCGCTACACAAGCAGTCAGTAATGAAACACCTTAGAAAGAGTCCGTTACCAACTTTAAAGACAAAATGTGTGACCAAAATAGTAGGCATACATACATACATGTATGTACAGATATAATATAAATGTTATAAATCAGATAAACTCACTTTGCTCAGGTAAGAAATGTTATTCTCATGTTTTTATTGTTGTGGTTTCTTATATTATTTTCAAAAAATATATATTTGTTCAACGCAAATAATTTTTAACTAGTGGATAAGCTCTTCAGCTGATTGTCAATAAGTTAAAATATTTTTTTCACTAAATTTAGTCCCAAAGACACTCAAAATCTGACTCTTATAACCAATCACAAAAATTCTATAAAGTTTTTTAAAAATGTATGCAACATATTATATATATATATATTACCTGAGTGAGGTATTTTACTTAAATTGTTCTAAAACTGAAAAATGTGATTTCTTTAACAGAGAGTAACTGTGACTCTCATAGTCTTGTAAACACATATAATGTAAAACAAATACATTAGGACCGATGATTTTCAAACGAACGGTAGGCGATGCTTCAGAGGGTAGTTTTAAGATTACCTCTTTGACTTTTTGTAGAGACCTAAGGCAAAGGGCAGCCGCCTACGCAAACCCACGGGTCCGCCCGCGCAGCGAGGAGGCCTCCCCAACGCGGGCGGCCCCACTGCAGCGCCGGTGAAGCCTTTACACTCCAAAGCCAAAGGTTAAATAAAGGAAAGGAAATGCCTCCTCTCAGTCAGGTAACTACCGAGAGTCCAAGTGGCGGGCCGGAACCTCGCTTAGGTAATCAAATAAAACGAAGGAAGCGGCCCTTCCCCCTAATGTCTAGAGGCTGTTTTTCTGTCTGGAAAATTGACGCAAAATGTGTCAAATTGAAACATTCTGCTTCTAGGGGATTTGCCCAAAGGAAGAGTGTAAAGGCTTAGAGCCGGGGAAGGAGTCAGGGGGCAGGGGGGGACTACAAAGGCCCTGACCACCAATCTGTCGTCCTTATTAAGGCAGTTCATTCCGGACGCTAGGAGACAATTTTATAGTTGTGAAATTAGGTCAGTCGAATTAGGAAAAAAGTTACTTCTTGCATTTTTGTCAGCAGAGAAAAGCAATTCTAAATACCAATAATGGTGAGATGTGAACTAGTAGTATCTTAGGGTGTTTTTGAAATCACATTCAACGGGGCCAGGCATGCCATGCACAAAGCTGGAGGGCACAGCTGTGGCTGGGCCTTCAGAATTACACGTGGATGTGTACAGCGAATAAACCAAAGCCCGAATGTTCCTTCTAAAAAGTGAACAGAACACAGAAATCAAATATATTTACTTTCTAGTCATATAATAACATGAAATCCAGGAGGGGAGGAAAAAAAACCCTGGGACAATCAACCCTGCCCAAGGCCTACTACTCTTGTGGATAAAACATACTTTTTTCAACACCGTTGTTATCCCAACAAGAGCGATGGAGGCGCACCTACATTCGACTACGTACAAGACTGTTAAGCATCTACTTCCGAATAAAGATCGGAAAGGACGTCCCCAATTTCAACAAACGTCCTGGGGACATCAGCTCTACACCAAAGTTCTCTTTGCGATGTTTTAGTTATTAAATGTTATTTCTTTTTCTATAACCCTTTCTGTAGAATCTGGCTTGGCCAATATCCAAAGTATAATCGTGGTACAGAGTCCTGTTTTTAGAGCCTATTTTATAGAATTTGGATTTCTGACTCATCGGGGCTTGTTAAGGGAGAGCTGACCTTTGGGGTCCCTTCTCGTCCTCAGCCAGCGGCTCAAGAGCCAGGTGCAGAGAGAGGACAGCCCGCTCACTGGCTGCCGGGTCCAGGACAGAAGCCGGGAGGGGGGCGGGGGGCAGGGCGCCCACAAGCAGGCTCGGGACACCACCGCAGCCCAGCCCAGGCCCAGCTTCTCGCTGCCCTGGGGAAGGTCTTCTATTTTGCTAAATATTCCCATTTAGGAAAAGGAATTAGAAACAAGAACTTTATGCAAAATGCCACTAACATGTATAAGGGTAGGACCAGCTTCTAAACGTTTTAACACACCGTGTTTGACCAACAAAGCCCCTCCCAGCACGGGTGCCCAAGCCGGCGACCTGCGGCCGCGGCCGCGGCCTTGCGGCAGCAAGTCACTTCCTGAGATCCAAGCTCAGGATCAGTGACAGAAATGAATTCACCAAGTGAAGATGTTTGCGGCCTGTTTAACGTGTGAAACAGTTATTATGTGAACTCCTATCTGAACATTTAATTTTTCAGAAGTAAACCCACAAGAACGAATCTTTAAAAAAGCCAACTCTTTGAAGGAAAATTCTACTGTTACTGGTAAATCTTTAAAGTTAATTGATGCTATATAAAGTAAATAAAATTATCTTACAACTCATTTGGATTTAGAGAGAACAAGTAAGAAAAAAATTCAACATATTTTTAAGCATTCCAAGCATACCAAAGTACAAAAGACAGACAGTTAAAGTCTTGTGTGTCGATTTTATGTTTTCACTACAAATACTCACCTAAGGATGCACAAGCATATTCTGCCTCCAGATGTGAGCCTGCAGAACCCAAATCTCTGCTTACTTTCAATGTCTGTCAGCACAAAGGCAAAGTGCTGTCCAACTTGATTTTGAGACACTCTAGAATACAGTAATATTTAACAACGTAAAAAATTGTGTAAGAATTTTTGTAAAGAATAGCAAAAGTACAACTATATTTACACGTAGCATTCGTTTCCCCTTTCCAATCAGTTGGTTCTTAAAGCTAGAACTGTGTTCTAAAATCAAAATGACTGTCACGTGTGTGAACGTGAACTAAACTATGCATCAAATATCAAACTAAGCTATACCACCTTACAGGCCAAGCAATCCAGCAGAATATTTCACTGCTAAGTTTTCGTGTGCTTAAAGGACTTATAAACATGCCGTAACTCTGAAAAAAACTATTACGCTGTGGAACTGAGAAGCCAGGCGCAGTGACTGAGCCGCTTCGTTCTGGCCTGCCTTCCGGGCACTTCCAACACAGCCGCGGTGGCCAACCATGTTGCCTAGGTGTCCAATGCGGCCACCAACTTTGGTTGCTGCTGTTTCTGTTGACATTCCCCACCCCCCACCCCCAAAGCACCACGCAGAGCACCACTGGCCTTTTTTAGTTTTCTCTTCCACAGCTACCTCTACAACGAGGAAGAATCCCCAAGTATGAAATAAGAATACAATTTCTGCAGAAAGAGCTTACCACCAAGAATGTTAGCAATTTTAAACGGAGTGTCACACTGGTACAGCGGCTGTTGCGCTGCATTGTAAGATGCGACATAAACCATTACGCAGGAAATTTATTGCAGTTTAAAATACGCAAGTACATTTCCTGTTGCCAGCTATACTACCGCTGTGAGACGACCACCAATGCACATCTGCTCCCTTTTCCTGAAATAAAATACCTGTGACACCTAAATGTTGCTTCTGAAATAGTCACAGGAACTACGTCAAGGAGTAAGTTACTACTAGCGGGCCAATACTGCTCATTATTTTCAACTTCAAGGAAATATTGGACATTTAACAAGTACACTCTTAAGTGGACTGTTTTTAGATGTTTCCCCAACCCCCAGAAACCACCTCAGTGCCTCCTGGGCCCTCCGGTGCCCAAGGCTCACAGCATCCTTCGCCGGCTTTTCCTCCTTTAGCTCGTCTTCACTACGATGTTGAACAGTGCGACCTCGGCAAGTACAACTGGAGCCCCCGGAAGGAGGAACCACGAGGCTATTGCAACCACAACACTGACTAAGGGCCACAAGCCCCTCCTTCCGCATACCGCCGTTAATACTGTGAAAGTTGAGGTTTTTACTAATCTTTAGCAAACTCGTTTCCTGAACACACATTTTCTTGAAGAATCCCCTCCTGCCCAAACCTGATAATACTGTGTGAAAATCCCATGAAAAATAAACACTCGGCTGTGCCGCGCAGAGGGCGGGCGTTGCGCAGAGCCCGCCGCACCCAGGCCGCGCCACTGCAGCCACGTGCTCAGCTCGCCGGCCGCAGGCCAGGGCCACCCCGCGGCCGCCAGGACGCGCCTTGCGTCTCCACGGCTATTCTTGGGTTTACAATGTCACGCAGATGGTCTTTTCAACTAGGGTGAAGGGAGAGGGAGGCCAGGATGTAGACATCTCGTTTTAAAAGGCACGTTCTAAGGCTCTGGCCAAGGACACAGTGTTACGCCTTTTTCCTGCAGGCGCTTGACTGTGTACCTGCGGCACAAAACGGGGACAGGACCCTGAAGGCCGGTCCTGACCGGCCACGGGGGGGGGCGAACGGAAGGTGTGGGCATTTCACACGCTTCTGCCTTCCAAATATTGCTTCATTTTGAGCCTCTCGTCTTTTTGGTGGTGTTGTTTGTTGTTGTTGTAAGCACTAAAGAGAAAGGACATTTCCTTTTACTTCCAAACGCGCGACAATTTCCCGGCAAGCTAAGTGACGACTCCGCTGTACCTTTCGACGTCGAAGGGGAAGCAGAACTTCGGCACAGTCTGGAGCACTTCCTGGAGGGCAAATTTAAAAGAAGAAATGCTTTAGGATATTTAGAAAGATGCACTTCCAACTGTTTTGAGGCATCTTCTAGGGGATAAAGTGCGGGGCGGGGAGTGGGGGGGGGGTTGCTTCTTAAGAACACCAGCCCAGGTCCTAGACTAAAATAATTGATTATGAACAAGGAATGAGCTGCGGCCCCGGCAGATTGCAGGGACAATGCCCGAAGGCCCCAGGGGGGCGAGGCCTGGCCTGAAGGGTATTCACACCCTTCACATCCCCGCTGGGGTCCCCTCAACAAGGCCATATGGATTTTACAAGAAGCGCCACACCATATGGGGAGGCTCCTGGTCCCACAGACTGGCCACAGGGACTTCTGACAGATCCTGGCTCAGAAATAGAAATGTTGTTTCAATTAAAATGCAGGCCGAGCGAAGGGACCGAAGCCAGCGGCGGGACGAATTACGGAGGGGGACAGCCACTCGGCGTGCCCCCCAGGAAAAAGCGCTTTAGAAAAAGGCTCTGCAGCTGAGGAAACGCATTTGTGTGATTCGACCCCGGGCACACTCAGCGACAGGAACACTGAGGTGTATCTCAAAGAGCACCCTTCAGTGTGTATCTAAAAATAAGCCTTTAAATTTGAAACAACACAGCTTCTATTCCGTGCACTTTCATTTAAAAATTGCCTAATATAAAAATCAATGTTTTCATTAAGCACAGAAAATAACCTTATTGATTCTGAAACCCCCAGGGATTTTACAGTCATTCTAAAATAATTTTTAACGCTTTTAGAAATCATACGTATATTCACGGTTATAACAAAATGCAAATGACTGTCAGCCATTTGGCCAAAAATGGAAAAAGACCTATTTTGTTACATATGAAAAACAACTTCAGATTAACTCTGCTGCCTAAATTAAACCTTAGAATTGAAGTTAACATCAGACAAGTTCAAAGCCAGGTGATTTTACAAGACAACGTGGAGATTTATGAGCCTTTTTTTCCTGTTAAAAAGAAAATAGTGCCAATATCATAAGGCCGTCGTCACCCCCTCCCTCCCCAAAAAACACCTTACCCATGAACTCTTTACCAATAAAACTTACATACAGAGAAATCACCAATATCTAAATATATAAACCATATCCAGAAACATGGGACTGAGGGTTTTAAAGTGGAGCCTCTCATGTCCTTTTCAAACACAGGCTGCCGTGTGGTTCCACTGAAATGACACCCCGTAAAGGGCCGGCGCCGACGCCTCGGAGAGCCCCCAGCGCCCTGCACGCTGGCCGCGGCGAGCGGGGACCGTGTGAGAGGCGCCTCGCTCGGCCGGGCACACGGATCTTTAAAAGTATGACCCCATATTTGGAAACACTAGCTGTCTTACTACTGACAATATTTTGCTAAATGTAACCGAAAGAGCGGCTAATCTTGAGATGGTTTAAATTAAACGGAAAATGCTTCATTACAGGTGAGGCAGTTCGTGGGCCGAGGCTCATCCGTATCCTGTGAGGACATCTACACACTTGCCGCACGTGTGAACGCTGCCCAGCTAACGCCGGCCAGGTGCCCCCTTCGCCTCTGTGACAATGGCTAGCGAGCCAGAAAACGCATTGTCTGCTTCTAAACACACCCAAATGAGTCATCTGTTTTACATCCATGTTAAGCCACAAATTAAGAAGGTTTTCCCTTCGTGGCTCCATCTCTTCCGTCCCCCCACCCCCGCCCCGGCCCCCCCCCCCCGCCCCGCCTCCTTCCACAAGCAGCACACTCCGCAAACGCCTCAGCTCGCTTCCCAACTGGCAGAAGCGCCCCTCAGGGGACAAGCCTTTAAACCTCCGCACTCTTTAAAATTCAGTCAGCCAGCAGGCCTATAGACTAGTGTATAAACAGCGAGGACAAAAAAGTCCTCTCGCAGCTTCTGCCGGCGACAAAGCCGCTCAGCGGCCGGCTGCTCCCCCCGCCAGTGGGAGCTGGGTTTACACAGCCCAGGAGGTGGGAGTCCGCCCGCTCCTGGCTCCAGTGCCTCCTTAATTACAGGTGCTCTTCAAGCTGAAGGCAAAACCGGGGGAGGGGGGAGGGCTGGAGGGAGGAATATGATAACGTGCAATTAGTTCTGGGAGACCCTTTCAACGTTGATTGGAAGCCGTGCCGTGCAGGTTTCTGATCTGACGCAGGCGCACACGCGCGCCCGCCCCTGCAGGCTGGCATCGGCAGACTGTGTAAAGGGCTTAGGAGAACACTCTTCAGGCGTTATTTTCCCCGGGTTTCTCCAGGCTTTGGCTTTTATAAAACGCCTCATTTTCTTAGCCAAGAAAAATTATCCGGGCTTTCGAAATCTTAATTGGCTAAAATATTTTATTTTTATATAGGAAGAACACACTGACAAACATGTCAAATGTTAGAAATAGAACTAACGAAAAGGATGACATAGAACATAAGTTACGAACGGCATTTAAAACAAAAGGTGTGGCAACACATCTACCTGCAGATGTCCTACAAGCAACACGGCTACTATCAGATGAAGGCCCGAAAAGAGGGTGGATAACGATCACACGCTGCCCCTTCGGCCCTCTGCCCGCGTCAGGGCTGATGAGAATTCTGGTCAAGTTGACCTTGTAAGAGAAAAGGCCGTGCATTGCTAGTGCCCGGTGGTGTCAAGCCTCTGTCCCACGGTGACCTGAAATTTCTACGAGGAAAATCTAAGCTGAAATGAGGTACGGCATTGTGGACACCAGGAATGGTCTTCCTCCTCCTCGGCGGCTCCGCCCCCGCCCTGCGCTGGAGCCCGGACATCGTCCGAGGTCCCCCGCGTCCCACGCGCTCCTCTGCGCCACCCGCAGACGCGCGCCTGCCTGGCATGCTCGTCTGCACCCAGGGGGTCAACGACAGCTGGCAAGTCTCTCGGTCTTCCGGTGTCTGGGAACTCCGGGATGACACGTTTAACTACGTTCTAATACCAAGCTCCGAATGTTCCCTGGAAACGCAGAATGTGGAACATTAAAACGGTTCTTTTAGTTACCGTCCTTGTCACTTAGAATGGCAACCGTCCGCCCAGACACCCAAACCAAACCCAGGGCAGGTGCCTACACCCCGCTTCCTGGGATCAGTCGCGCCCCATGTATCAGCCACCCGGCGAGCCCTGCTCATCCGAGGCCACAGCTCTCTGGCTCCAGAGGCCCCCACGGGAGGGCAGAATGGGCCGGGGGCGACGGGAGAGTCCGGGGAGGGACGCGTCGGCGCGCACACGCCGCCGGGACGCACTAGGGGGCCCTCGGGCCCAACCCTCCAGCTTCGCTGGAGTGGCACCCGTGCCCGATGACCAAGGCTGACCGTGTCAGGCCAGGGTGCTGAGCAAGGGCCAGGAGCAGCTCTTCCCTCACGGCGGGGAGGGCGAGGGAGGCTTGCTCGGGCACTGGTGAGCTCGACAGCCCCCTCGGGACCCGGGCCCTGGGCCCTCTGCTCCGCTGTCCTGAGTCTGTCGGCTGCGCCCGCCGCTCCCTCTCCCATGGCCACAAAAGCAGCTGCCAGACTTCAGCACGTCACACGAAGTCACAGCAGTGTCCGGTCAAAGAAGCATCCCTTCTGTGAGGCTCTTTTCATCAGGGAGGAAAGCTTTCCCAGAAGCCCCTCCGCGCCGTTCCCGCTCCGTCCAATTAGCCGGAAGGTCAGAGCCACGCGGGAACCCGCCGCCGGCGGGGCCCGGGCTCCCGGGGCTTCGATCGGCCTCCCTCTGAGGAAATCAGCATTCAGGCCCGCTCGCTGTCCACTAGCCATGACACATGATTATAAGGAAGCTTGAGTGACGCATCGATGTTTTCTTCCTTACGTCTCCTCACAGTAACTTTAATCGGATGTGAATTAAATTCAAACCAAAGTTCTCAAGAAAAACATACCACAATGCTATAAGGACAGTTCTGAAATATCCATTTAATTCATCTGAATGACACTTTCGGAATCATTCCGTAACAAGGGGGGATACCTGTCCCTTTTAATGTTATTCACAAAGGCCATAGATTTCTGAAAGATGATTACTTAATTTTGGATATTATCTCCCAAAATAAGTGAGAATTAATTAAGGCTATGTATTCATTCAACCTAAGTGTGCTTTACAGAGAGAAATGATAACCTTTATTTTTCTCAAAGGAAACATGCACTGAGCTATTTAGTCGTGAGCAGGTGCCCTGGGAAGTTCAGGGAAACCCCGCAAACTCACAGGGGCACGCCAGGTGGTTTAAAGAGTGAGTAAATCAGGATGCATTTTATTAAAAGCAAAAGTGACTCTCATGTGGCGAATTGTACATATAGCCTCTTTAAACGTCATCTTCTCATGGTTTTTTAAGGAGTTTTTTAAACTTAGAGAACATATTTTCAACTTATAGCCAAAGAATAACTGCCAGGAAAGCTGAGCCCACTGGGCCATCCTTCCCTCGCCCTTTCCTTTGATGTAATATTTCTACGGGAAATAAATTTCTCTCTCCTCCTTCCCTCCTTAAATCAGGAAAGCCGTTCAAGACCATGAACTCTGACGCTAAAACTGGTTAGACTGGTAACCCTCATCCAGTCATTTTTCCCTAGTAGAAATTAAAAACGAATGTTCACTGTTAGAAGATTTAAATAACTGCCACGAAGCCAAAATATGGTGCTATACAAAGAACTGGGCCGTTGCCACAGAAACAGCAAGGGCATGGGCAGCGTGAGCCCAGGTCTCAGAGCCCTGCCGCCCGCCGACCATCACGTCACTTCAACGGGAAGCCCGTGAGAAAGCCCGGGCCGGAGCGGGGCAGGGCGCCGTACAGAACACGCGGGTGTTTACCGTTAGATGGTTCGCTTGGCAAACAGAGGCATAATACATGTTCTTCATTAATTTCAGATCAAGAAAAGCGTTTAAAAGGCACGGGGGTCCACGATGGCAGCACAGGATGGAGCTGGCACATCTGCCTCACACACTGGGTCGCAGCTACGCTCGAAACAGCCCCCCGAGCACAGGCTGAGCGCCCCGCGCAGCACAGGGCGA